GTCAAGTGCAAACACATCAATGTTCTTTTTAAGCAGATCAGCCTAGCGGGGCAGCTCAGAGGCCTCAGGGAACTGTGCACGCCAGGCGTCGTCGAGACGGAAGAAGCAGCGCTACGGCGTGTGGAACCTCCCACACGTCTGACCAGCGCGGTCACCTGTGCGGATGACATACGTGCAGGTATCCCCTCCCCCAGACCCCCCATGCTGAGAGTACCACTCACGAAGCTACTGGGGCGACGGGGTCTCTCCGAGACGCTGCTGCTGGCGCTGGACACCACCCGAACCTCCACGCTGCGCTGGTCCACCCTGACCACCACCCGTGCCGCTGCCACCACGCCCACCGCCGCCTCCACCACCGCCTCCACCCCGGCCTCCTCCACCACCACTACCGCCACCACCCCCGCCGCTGCCACCGACCCCCCCAGCCCCGCCACCACCCCCACCACCACCACCCCCACCGCCCCCACCTCCACCCCCACCTCCCCCGCTGGCACCACCACCACCCTTGCCCCCCTTGCCCTTGCCGCCCTTGCACCTCCAGCTAGGAGGAGACGCAGCCCCGACTTCCTCTGCACCAAGGAAGTCGACAGCGGCAGCTGAGGCAACCGAGGGGAGAAGGGGGGGAGGGGAACACCCGTCAAAGAGGGGCGTGCGGGGGTCGCCACGAGAGGCACCTACAGCATTGATGCTAGACTCAGCTGCAAGCAGATGCTTCTCGAGGAGGTCAATGGTGAGCTCGGTGGGGGAGAGGGCGAGAAAGTGGTCCCTGACTGCGCGAAGGGAGTCAGGGAGGCGGGCGACTAGGTGGTAGAGAACGAGGTACATCGGGGGGGGGGGGGGGGGGTTCTTGGCGAGGAACTCAGCAGGAAGGGCGGCGCGGAAGCGAGTGTCACTGGTGCGGAGGTGGGTAATGAGGTCAGCGACTGAGGGAAAGGCGGCGAGATCGGGGAAAAGATAGGGCAGCGAGAGACGGCCTATCGTAGCAGAGGCAGGCGAGGAGTAGCGAGCGACGTCTGCAGTGTACAGTGCCTTAGCAGTTTTGTGCTGGCCGAAGTGTACGCGCTCATCTAACGGCAGGTGGCTGCGAATGGCTAGGCGAGCGTGGGCGTCACGAGTCTGCTACTGGGAGCGGGCTGTACTGTCAGCAGTGTCAGCAGGTGCTAGAGCGGTTCCGGACGCGTGGTCATACAGTGAGACATCATCCTTAGCAGTGATCTAGAGGAAGAGGTGGAGATCGTCAAGCCAAGCATCAAACTGGAGCGGACGGCCCTCAGCATCGAAAGAGAGAACAGTGGGTGTAGCATTAGTGGCAGCAGCAGCAGTAGCAGTAGCAGCAGTAGCAGTAAGAGAAGTAGCAGTAGTGGCGGTAGGGAAACGAACAGCTGGAACAGTAGGGACAGGAATAGCAGGTGCTGTAGGTGGGGCGGCGCGGTTCGGTCAGGGCGGCGCGGCTCGGGTGGCGCGGCTCGGGCGGCGCGACTCGGGCGGCGCGGCTCGGGCACGTAGGGCAGCGCGGCAGCAGGCCTAGCACGGTGAGCGGCGGCGCCTAAGCTGCAGCTGCGCACAGGCCGCGGCTGGGTTCGTGCTGCAGTGAAACTCGAGCTGCAGGAGCCTACTCACGATCGTAACTGTGGGCGGGCTGTGACCTGCGGGCGGGCGGCGGTGGGTCGTGCGCCGTCCTAGGGGCGAGCGGTCGGGCTCGGGCTGCAGTCGCGCGCGGGCGGCGGCCTACGAAAGCAGGGGCGGCGACCTACGGGCGGGCGACGCGACTGCCTACGGGCGGGGCTGCGTTGCGCTGGAAAGCCAGCCGGGTGGGTCGACGGGCGGTTAGCGGCCTACTCGTGGGTGGTGCTAGCCGCGCGGGCGGCCTACAATCGTCGCGCGCGCGATTTGGGCCGCGTGCGGGCTGCTAGCGGGCTGTTCGCGCTAGGAAAAAGAGGCCGCGCGCGGGCGGCTAGCTACCTGCGCACGGGCAGCGTGAGAGGACGAGGGGCACGAGGGCGCGATAGTAAAGAGGCGCACGAGGGCGGTGAGAGGGCGCTCTAGGGCGCTAGTAGCGGAAGGGTAGGCCCTTAGTTTAAGAAGGTCCTAGGTTCCTAACCTAGGCTTTTGATGCCATGTTCGAATGAGAAGGTTGGTTGCACTAGGAAGATCGAGAGTACAAGTAGGAAAGCCTAGAGTTGTGTACCCCCTAAGGCTAAACCCACTATAGCCAACAGAACTATAACATATATAATGTTTGACAGAGGCACGTTACGAACAGGGCGACGCGCGCTACGGAGCAGACGGGGCGCGTAATCTTAGGCTGGGAACGAACCTACTGCTGATACCATCTTAGAATCTATCTTAGTAGAGATAGAGAGAGAATGGTGATTAGGGTAAGGGGAGAGGGGTACAAGAAGAGTGTCGATAGTAATTTGTGTACTCCGTATGATGAAACTCACTAAAGCCTATTTAAACTATTTAACATAGTTTGACAACATCATACCGCATAGAGGATTGTTCACGCCACTGTACACCAAACAGTAATCCGTCACCACTTTGGGACAGTCACATCGACCCTGTTTCCGCCATCATGAACCTGGTGCCCAAAACACCCGACTCGGCCGGCCATAGACCTCGACAGTTTCCCAATCTCGGCACTAGGCCCGTAGGGCACTCGTTCGCAAGCGCGTTGTCATTGCCATCTAGTTTCGCTAGGTATCTAACAACTCGCTCATGCCAAATGTGTTACCATTACCAAATGGGTTACCACAGTATTGTTTGCTTCGATAGTGCAATTCTCGCTCTTACTCGATTGCACTCGTAGCACAAATTCCCAGTCGCTTTAGAAGCATACATGTTTTCCACGATTTACACTCATCGTTACTTTTAGTGCCAAATTAGATGTTTTATTATAAGCGCACCTGCGCCTATATTGTGGGTTTGATGGGTAGCCAGCATTTGCGATCCCTTGGAATGCAATCACGCCGAACACGCACGGGGAAATTGAGACCCACCACTTGTTTTGTCGTGCTTCTGATTGCTTCTGGAGAATTCTCCTCTTGGTGCCATACCTACATGTACAGTTGGTTGACCACGTGGCAGGGGAACACTGATGGCCCGAATGGCTGCTGATCTTCGGGCAGGAAAGTCTCTTGCCTGAAAGCCATTTCACGAATCAACAGTTGAGCGGATGAGAAGGCAGCTGCGAGAAGCTACAAGACCTCTCTGTATGCTTACGCCAAAACTTTTCTTGCCCAAAACAGCACTCCACCGACCATAGTTGGGTTGGGGGGATGTGCTACCGCACAATGTTTCTGTGGTCACTTTAAAAAGCCCTCCATTTTGTGATGGACACCAGAAACGATGGGATGACGGCTTTCTGGCTATATCCAGACTGGGCTGGGAACTCTTAGACGTGTTGCAACCCAAAGAGGTCGGGTCGACCACCCCCGATCCCCATTTCTAGGAAGGCTGGTTTGCGCAGAAAACCGACGGTTCAACCCAGCCTAATTTGGTTGGGTCTGCCCGACCGGGCTGACCATGTTGGGTCAACCAAGTCGATCTGACCAATCCCAACCGGCTTGCGACAAGTTACTAGAGAAAACGAACTGTATCATCTCGTTGTACAGTCGCGTACGAATTGCAAATCCAGCGAGCCAAGGTTCTGCGTAACCACTGGTCAAACGAGGTGTTGTTTCTCGTCGCAGCTCGCCTAACCTGCAGGTAAGCTGGATGCCAATTGCGCTGTAGGTGCTTCGAGGGTGCGCCAAAATCTCTCAGAAAGTCTTAATTATCCCGAGCCGCGATCTTGCTGGGTCGGAACACGTCGTAAACCTACTCGGATGGATACCTTCTAGATTACATTTGGGGGCATTTGGGGCAGCATTCCAAACAAATGCTGTGAATGTTAGCCCTTCATCACTGCGCGCTTATCATCTAGGGTTGTTGTCACACGTCAGGATGTTCCCGCACAGGGAGCTTGCGATTCGATAGTCAGCTATGCTGTGCGCAGATAGGTTGTCAGCTCAGCTTCGCTCCGCAAAAAGGGGGTGTTGCGGTTGCGGCGGAGGGAATGCCCGCCAGGTGAGGTGTTGTTGGTGTGGCTGTGTTGAATATTTTTGCGGAGCAGCAATTTGCCAATCCGCCGTCGAGGCAGTCGACTTGGGTTTTGGTGTTGAGCTGAGCAAAGGCACCTGATGGACGGCGAAACCCTATACAGAAGCAGCCCTCCCACCGACCCCACTAATCTTAGCCCTATCATCCCCACCACGTATCACAGCTTCATTTGTTGTCTATCCCCGACGTATCAGCTCCCGACCTTCTGCTTATCCCGCCTGAGCCCAGCTTTCCTCTTTCTTTCCTCCTTATCACATCTCTCTCCATCCCTATCGTCCTGGCTCCTGTTCCCAGCAGTGCGAGAGCCTGTTCAGTAGAAGTCACTACAATTACCGACGTGATAGATGGACCGGCAGAGCGCGTCCGCCGTTGACATCGGCGCACAGACTCGTTCGGTGCAACCCGAATCATTTCAGAGGACAGCTATGGCTTGTACCTCGCGCGGTTTCAGTGAGAACGCAATTTCGTGCTCATTAGTACTTCAACGAGGGAGATTACTACTAACCCCCTCGGAGGAGGAACGGACGCGCCGCGTGGTGTCCGTGCACGAAGCGGAGCGGAGCATTGATGGCCCTCCAGCCGCGCATTGTTTCTCCAGGTGCTGCCTTCCCTCTATCGCTGATACTACAGGACCACCGCAATCTGCGCTGTCATACGGCACTCTCTCCGTCTCATGCACTGACGTATGCTATCATTATCTGGTTGAAGAGGAAGCACCGTTCTCTGCGATCTTCCCGCTCTTGACCATCACCGAAAGAGTATACGTGTTTTTTCTCGTACAATAATTGAACATATATATTTCCCCCCTCGTTTTCCTCCTCCATCGTCGTCTCCCCTGCCGGCGCCCCCGCTCCCCACCTCACCCTCTCGTCCGCCCCCCTGTCGTCCGTCTGTCACAGCCGTCACGTTGACCACGGGCAACGCGACTACGGCTGGAAACCCGGCGACAGCCACTGGACGGGGGGTCCTCTTGAAGGCTTGGCGGAAACACGGCATGGCTCGTGCGGCATGGAGGTGCGTGCTCTGCGGATGTTACGGGCCTCTCCCGCGCCTGTCGGCGTTGACGGAGCTGGAAGCCCATGCTGTTTGCGTCGAATCATGCCCTCTCATCGTCTTCTTTTAATTAAATTCGCGACCGCCGAGCGTAGTACGGGGATCTTCGCCGTGACTCGCCCGCGTGTGCGGGAGAGAAGCGGCGGGCCCCCGCGGGCCACGACGACGCGTCACGGTCCCTGCATGGAACGACGAGCACGGTCGTTGTTCCACCGTGGCGGTCGGTCAGCATGTCACGTGTGCTTGGCCGCTCTGTCGCGGCACAGAGCGTCCCCTTTGCGCGCGTTTTCATTTCATTCGGGCAGTTACGAGCTCTTGGACGATTCGGGCGAAACTAATCGCTCGTGTGCGGCAGGCGCTGGCTCTCCACTTTTTTTGTTTCTCTGCGTTTCTCGTCCGTCGCGCGTGTGTGCGCGCCTCTGCGTGCTCACCGCCCTTTTTGTGCGCCATGCCTCTCTCCCCGCCCTGCCAGGCCACGTGTCCGCGCTCTCCCGCTCGACGCGCCGACGATACTATCTGCGATCTGCTCGCAGCAGCGGGGCGGACAGCGGCGGCGCGACAACGAGCGCAGCGCGCGCAGTGCGGCGAGTGCGACGGTGATGGCGACGGCGGGCGGAATCGCAGCGCAGAGTACGTCTGATGTCGGTGGCTGTTTCGTCTGCTCACACCCGCTTTCCTTGCGTACTGACCGCTTAGGTCAAACTGAAACCCAAACTGGAGCTTGTGGACCGTAATTGGTTTCCCGTGGGGCACATCCACGCCGCGATTGCTGGCCGCCCTTGCTGTTGCCCCCGCCTCCCACGGCGATGCTGCCGTGGCGCGAGATCCGTGCGATTGGGAAGCATGGGTGGAGAAGTGCGAGGACTCATGGCTCAATTATTTGCTGCTATGCTTATGACGACTGCACCTGGCGTGGTTGCTAACCATGCTGTGCGTACCATGTTCTGTGAGTGCTGGTGTGCGTGCCGCCAGATGCGGAGCGGCGAGCGCTACGGACGAGGCAGCTGCAGCGGCGTGGAGTGGGAACCGTCAGCGGCACAGACGTGGCTGCACCACCGCGCGGCGCAAGGTAAGGCGGAAGCCCTAACCATTTATGTAAATTCTTTTGGCGGGAGCTTTCGGATATAAAAAGGCGCGGCCACAGTGGTGGCAACGCGGGGATGGCTGACCGCTCACTCACGACTTCCGTGCGTGCCGCGTTTGTCGCGTCTTTCCGCGTCTCGTTCGGCCCGTTCGCTGATTCCGTTCCTGATTCCCCCCTCCGTCCCCCGCAATGTGATTGTCCGCGCTATAGATGGACCCGACGAGCTCATCCATGCAGCGGATAAGGGAGCGCGATGGGGATGGATGCGCGTCAACAGTCACAGGAGGCGCAGGAGGGCGCGGAGGCCGGATACAAGGAAGAGGCGATGGTGGCAGCGACTGCTGCGCAACTAAGGGGAGGAGGAGGCTGCGCGCCACCGCGAAATCAGCAAGGGCGGAGGGCACGGATCCGCGGCAAGCATGGCGTGGGCGCGGACGCGGCGAGGCAAGTGCCTGGTGCGGCAGCCCGCTGCGGTGGTCGTCTCTACTCAGCCTGCCTCTGCTGCTGCTGCGGCTGCTGCTGCTGGGTTGCGTCGTCGCGTCGCCCGCCGTGACATCCCCTGGTATGCCTTTTCCCTTCCTCTCTGCTTGTACTTGTACAAAACTGGTGTGCTGCAGTTTGCCACTCACATCGCCCCGCCCGCGCACCCCACCCCGCACGCCCCTCACGCCCTCCTTCCTCCCCACCGTCCCCAGGCGCGTCCTTCCCCGTGCGCATCAACTGCGGGGCGTCGGAGCACGTGACGGGCAGCGACGGGCGCGTGTGGGAGCCGGACACCTACTTCGCGGGGGGAGAGCCAGTGGCGGTGCTCAACGCGTCGCACCTGGGCTTTCCCAAGGAGGTGGCGTCGCAGCGCATCTTCCACACGGGCGACGTCAGCTGCTACGACATCCCGCTCTCCCCCGGCCGCTACGTCGTGCGCCTCGCCTTTGCCTACCACAGTGACACGTTACCTGCCAAGACGTTTGAGACGGTCTCGTCCGTGACGGTGCAGGGAGGGCGCCCCATCAGGGTGCAGGATTTCAGCGTCTCTGCTACGTCTGCACGCACAAGCGCTGCCGCAACTCGCGACGGCACTGTGACGGCAAGCGCAGCTGAAGCTGAGCATTTGTATGCGCCGGCGGCTGCTCCCGGGGCCTCTGGTGAAGCCGTGGTGAGTCGGTTGCCGGATGACACGCCATTCTCATCCCCAGCAGGCAAGGGCCCTCTCGGAGCAACTGACGGCCAAAGTATGGCAGATCTGCCGCCCAGTGTGAGCGAGAGCGAGAGTGGGGACTTGGGGGCGTTGCGAGAGAGCATGCAGGGCCGGTGGCCGCGGTTTGCGGTGCTGGTGGAGGGCGTGCAGATGGAGACGGTGAGCATGGCTGGGCACGTGGGGGCGGTGTACGAGCCCGAGTACATCATCGACAGCGCTGATGCCTCTCTCACGCTCTGCTTCCTGCCCGTGTGGGGCCACGCCCTCGTCAACTCCATCGAGCTCCTCCCTGTGCCCGCTGCCTTCTACTTCCTCCCCTCCGTCGTCCCCCCCAACGCCTTCCTCGCCGTGCGCGCCCGCATCGACTGTGGCCACGCCACCGCCAACGACTCAGCAGTCGCTGCCCCCAACAGAACCACAGTGGGCAGCACCAACCGCCTGGCGGGCGGCAATGCTGTGTTGCCCGCGACGCCAGTGACCAACTCCACGTGGAGCTTTGAAACGTTGGTGCGTACATCGGGGTTTGTTCCCACGGGCCAAGGCAAGACGCTGAGGGATACTCTTGGGCGCCGGTGGTCCAGCGACCTCAACCAGATCGTGCAGATGCAGCAGGTGGGGGTCCCACCACCCAGTGGAGAGGCTTCGCAGGGTGCAGAGGGCAGCGGGCAGCAGGAGCACGCGCGGCCGCAGTGGCGTGTGAAGCCACCGAAGTCGGTGCAGACACTCATGTCGGTGAGCGGGGCGGGTGAGGCGCCGCTGTTCCTGGCGCAGGCGCTGCTGCAGACGGCGCGCGAGGCGGTGCTGGCGAGCGGGCTGCACTACTCGTTTTCATTCCGCGTGCCGGCGCGCCTCAACCGCTGGGTGGTGCTGCTGCATTTCGTGGCGGTGCAGCCGGGGTCGCGCGTGGGCGAGCGTGTGTTTGACATCCACGTGAACGGCGTGAGTGTGAGCAGCTTTGACATCCTGCATGAGGCCCACGGGCAGCACAACCGCCTCGTCACACTGCCTGTCGTCGTCGGCTTCAGCCGGCCCGCCATTGGGTCGGCGCCCACGCTGGAGGTGCGGCTGGTGGCGTGCAACGGCAGCAGGCTCAGCCCCCTCATCAGCAGCATCGAGGTCATTGAAGTTGTGCGCGCCAACGTCCCCCGCGAAAACGTCGTCTCCGGTAAGCCGCGTCCAGGGTGAACTTTGTCCCAGGCAGACTAGTCTCAGGTAAACCTTGGCTCGGGTAAACCTTGGCTCGGGTAAACCTTGGCTCCGGTAAACCTTGGCTCCCGTAAACCTTGGCTCGGGTAAACCTTGGCTCCGGTAAACCTTGGCTCCCGTAAACCTTGGCTCGGGTAAACCTTGGCTCGGGTAAACCTTGGCTCGGGCAAACCTTGGATCAGGTAAACTAGTTGCCTCCTACTTTTTCTCCTCTCTGAAAATTTAGTCGTCATCCCCTCATTCCCACTCAAAGTATGACTTGGACTCACAAGCTCCGTGTGTCTTCCATGCATGCTCGCAGAGCTGAAAGCCCAACAGAGTGGCGACCCCAAGTCAGCCATTCCGTCCGCGTCCTCCCATGGCCGTAGCTATGCAGCGGTGGTGGCAGGGGCGATAGGAGGGGCTGGCGCGCTGGTGCTGCTGGTCATGCTCGTGCCCCTCGTGCTGCTGTGGCGACGCCAGCATCGCCGCCGCCGCGCCGCCATGCGCTCCCACCTGCTAGGGCTCAATGCCGTTGACTCTGCAGCACTGCAAACACAGGATGTTGAAGGTGCTAGTCATAGTGAGGAGCTGGGGCTTGTTGATATCATAGAAGAGATAGGTTGAAATGAAGTGCCTTGTATGTGTAGTTTTGTGTATAGTCAATGCTATCTCAATTGCCGAACCGCTCCACAAGTGCAGCTTATCACGTGCAGCCCCTCACTTCGTTACACTCCCGCTACGAGGCGACGAATTTGCCCTTGGAAACGTGCGAACAGGGCAACAGCCATCAACCCGATAACGGTTGCTCTTTTCACACACTACTGAACTGTGTCCAGTCCTCTCCTTTCTTGTGGCAAATGGAGTGATTTTTGCTCGAAAAGGCATTTTTTAGGCGTAAGGTGTACTTGTAAATCACTAACACCAGCCAAAAGTCACTACACATTGTTTCACACACGTGATAGGCTGTAGTGGACATTACCCTGCATGGTATACCATATTATTCTCAACATTTTGATTTGATTTGAGACTCCTCAACGTAATAAATGCCAGTAACCAGTCCACCTTCCTTGATTTATTTGTTAAACACTATCATCAGTAACTTCAGAAGCCTGGGATGGGATGGGGGACAAAAGATAACCTTGATAAGATCCTGCAAAACATTCTGCAATCACGGTATGTTAGCAGGAATAATAATATGTTAAAAAAGTATGGTGCATTACGGTATATCACCACAGTCGCACAATTGTGCCCGGTCAACATGACGGGGCAGGCAGGAACACATGGCCCGATTGCAGGGATGAACCTATCAGGATGATGCTGCTGTTGCCGTTGCTGCAGCTGCTGCTTCCCCAGCACCATCCACCACACCATGGATGCATGCACCGCTATCGAGCCTCTGAGCAAGTCTCTGCAGCAGCAGCTTCTTCCCCAGCCTGAACCGCACCACCATCTCCCGCTGCCCTAACGTGCGCATCACCTGCGCCGTACACACACTCGCATCAAACTCCACCCCTTTGCACCCCTCTGCACCAGCCGTCCCACTCCCTGCCTTGCCTGCGCTCCCCTCACGTCCCTGTCCACTTCCCTGCTCTTCTTCCACAGCCTCCTTGCTGCTGTCTGCAACCTCCGCTGCCCCATCTTCTCTCTCTGCGCTTCCATCCACAGAACCTGCAGCATCTGGCCCACTGTGTGGCGGTGGAGCCAGGCGGCAGGCAGCCAGGCGCTGCAGCAGGAGCTCATCCTCCTGTGGCGAGGAAGAGAAGGCCCACAGCAGCTGCTCGGCACGCTTCGCAATGGCAGCGGCGGCCGCCGAGAGCGGTGCCACCAGGTGAGGGGGGATGGAGAGGGATGCGGTGGGAGGGGGGCAGGCTGGGTGGAAGGGGTCGCGGGAGAAGGAGACGGCCACTTGCGCCAGCTGCTGCCAGTCCAGGTCTGGCCAGCAGGGTTGCCAGGCGCGGGGAGAGGGCGCGAGGGGAGGGGGGAAGATGAGAGAGGGGAAGAGGGAGGCGAGTATGAAGATCGAGAAGGCAGAGAAAAGAGGAGCGCGGGGCGCATGCACTAGGCCCACGGGTGGCTCAAGCGACGAGGATGAGATGGCACGTGATATGCATGCGAGGAAGGGCACAAGAGAAAGCTGGAGAGGCGGTTCAAGCACGGAAGCGAGGGCACAGGCAAGCGAGCAAGAAAGAGAGCGTGAGCAGGAGCAGGAGTGAGCGAGTGAGCAAGGCAGAGGAGAGTGAGCGAGCAAGCAAGCAAGAGAGGGAGTGAATGAGCGAGGAGCAGGAGTGACCTTCCCAGTGCTTCCACTTGAACCACACGGCAGCAAGCGCCGCCACGAGGCGGGGCTCCACCTGCCCATCCGCACCCGCGTTGTACGCGCCACCGTCCACCTCGTCCCACAGCGACAGGGCCACTGGGTACTGCTGCTGCGCGCCTGCCATGCCGCTGCCGCTGCTGGTGCTGCTGTGTGCCATGACCTCGGCGTGCACGGCGTCCTCTGCTGCCTCCACTGCCGCTGCCAGCGCCGCCTCCTGCTCCTTGCTCAGCCCAGGGTCGTACCACTGCGATGGCGCTGCGCTGCCGCTGGTACTGGCCGCGGGCGTGGAGAGCGGGTGCAGCGAGAGCAGGAAGGCGAGCAGCGAGTCGGGCGTGTGGAAGAGCGGCATGCGGTCGTGCGGGTTGGCGGCGGGCAGGTGGCCGTGCAGCGCCCACAGCACGTCGTTGGAGAGGGCACCCAGGTTGAGCGAGAGACGCGTGTTGGCGGGGATGGCTGAGAGGGCTCGGATGGTGACAGGTGGTGCGGAGTCGGAGGGGGCATGAGGGTCCGATGCTGTGCCGTGCTGGTCGCATGCACGCATGGTGGCCACACAGCATGGGAGTGACCCACGTAAGGGAGGGGAGAGGGCATGGGCAGGCGGGGAAGGGCAGGCAGGGGCAGAGGAGGTTGTGAGGCGACGCAGTACGAAAGGTGGATATTGTTCAAGAGACGAAAGTCAGCCATTTACTGCGGGGCGAAAACGCGGAGAGATGGGAGATAAATACCTGCCACTCCAACTTGGCATTGGGCTCGTGCGAGTGGATGAATCCACCTGGCAGCGGCAGCAGCAGCAGCGGGGCACTGAAGCGGCTGCGCCTGCCCTGCCCCGCGCCCGCACCCATCCACTGCTCTACCCACTGCATGCTGCGCGCTAGCTCCTCCGCACTCGTGCCCACCCACTGCTGCTGCACCGCACTGCACCCCTGGGCGGATGCAGCGCCCTCCCCGGCACCTGCAGACGCGGAACAGAACCCCTCACTGGAGCCACCACTGCCAGCAGCACCAGCTTCTGACGCGGCCCCGGCTGCAGCACCAGCACCACCAGCAGCAGCGGCAGTAGCAGTAGCGTCTTCCTTGTCGTCGCCCCTCTCCTTGGCGCGCACTGCTGCTACCACCTTGCCCACGGGCGAGGCCGTGGCAGCACTGGCGGGCAGCTGCGACGGCAGCAGGCCATGCGGCATGTGCGTGTAGGGCAGCAGCGGCAGCGCGCGTGAGAGCACAAGGGAGAGCGCCCAGAAGAAGTGCGACTTGGAGGCGCGCGCTATGGCCTTGGCCTTGCTGCGCAGATACTCCTCCTCAAACGCCGCCCGGTACAGCGCCAGCTGCACGGCCGTGCACGGGTGGGGGGGAGCGGGGGGGATGCGACGGTGACGAGGAGGAGGGGGGAGTGGGGGAGGTGGGAGGTGGGGTGGGTTCGGTGGTTATGGAAGGCTGTGTGGGAGAAGGCGAGAAAGTGCGGGCAAGCATGGGATCTCAGGGAATGCCTGTGAATGGTCTCTTCTTACAGAGGGAGCATGTGGAGGAGGGGAGAGAAGAACGGCAACAGAGAGAATACACCACAACAACCGAATGCTGAGCTGCTCGCAGGCAAAGGGCAGAGGGCAGAGGGGCAGGGGCAGAGGGGCGAGACAAGAGGGCAGAAGGCAGGGGCACGGACCCGGCGCATCATGGGCGGGTAGTCCAACATCTCCACCACCTCGCGCTCAAACAGCGCCGGCAGCGGTGCATACCGCGGCAAGCTGCCGATGAACGCCGCCCACTTGGACTTGGCGCCCTTGGCGCGCTCGCGCAGGAGCCAGGCGGCAAGCACGGAGGCAGCGGTCCAGGGCTTCTCCTTGCGTGTCACGTTGTACGGCAGCTGCCTCGCCTCCCCCTCCGCTAGCCCGTCCGCTGTCTGCTGCAGCGGTGCAGGCACCAGCAGCGCCGCTGCTGCCGCTGCTATGGGCTGCCGGGCCACTAGCATGGCGCCCGTGCTGCATGCGTGGGTGCGCCGGTGGGTGGGTCGATGCGTACACGCGTGGGTCGGTGGGAAGGGAAGAGTGGAGGGATAGAGGGATGGAGGGGAGAGTGAGTTGAAGCAGGGGAACAGCGGGAGTGGGAGAGGTGACAAATGCAGTGAATGTGGCCTGGCCTCTCTTATGCCGGGACCTTTCAGCTCTGAGCGTTGCTCCAACACAGGACCCTCAACGCACACCGCAGTGATGCGGCGCCTCGTGGCTGGAGGCCCTTCATACCCTCTCTGCCCTCACGCGCTGCTATGCCTATAGTTACGTGCTTCGAGAGCAAGAGGAACAGAGAGGGGGGCGGAGAGGAAAGGGGAGGAGGGGTGAGGAAGAAGGAAGGAGGGGGGAGGAGGAGCGAGGGGGAGGAAGGGGGGCTTACGCGGAGGCAGGAGAGTCTTGGGACGAGTGAGGGCATGCGGCAGGCTTGGGAGGTTCAACCTGGAAGGGGGATGGGGAAGCACGCAGAGGAGCTGAGAGGCGTGCGGGGGAGGCATGGCGCAGCAGCTGCATGGCCCGCCCACGTGTTGTAGCATAGCCGGCGGGTGGGGGTACTGGGGGAAAGGACGAGCGGAACAGAGGCGCAGGCGTGAAAGGCGTGGGGGAGGGAACATATGCCGCACATGCATCGCATTGGATTAAAGGCACTGTGCCGCCACGGGGGCAGGGGAGCGCAGTGGCGGAAGGGAAGTGGAGTGCGGGGAGGTGGCGGGGTCGCAACAAGCGCGAGGCAGTTGGGGATGCGCGCGCGAACTCACACCAACAGCGGCGTCCGGTCCCCCAATTCCCTGCGTCCCTTGTTCCGCAAGCCACGCATTCACCGCCGCTACACCCCCAGCATCCTCCCCTGCCGCCCCTTCCCCAATCTCCCCAAGGCGGGGGAGAGCTGCCCCCTCAATCACGGGGGGCGCGCGGTCGAAGGAGAAGAGCGGGGACGGCATGATGCCCAGCTCGCCCACATCCACGTCGCGCCACCGCACCCCGCCCGGCGCGGCGCTGGCGGGCACGAGGAGAGGCGCGCAGACGAGGGACGCGCAGAAGAGTAAGCGAAGGGCTGCGGGGAAGCGGAACGGGGAAGGCACGGGGAGGGAAACTGAAGGAGGGATACAACGGGTATGGCATTGCGGAGTGGGAAGAACTCTCCGCCAAAGTAGGCACGTGGCTTCCCCGTCGTGTTGCAGAACGAAAATTTCTCGTGGTAGGCGCAAGGAGTGGTAAAGTATCGAGCTATTAATTATTATTCAGGCCCGATCTTGCGACGTGCAGTGGGCGCGGCAAAGCGGTGCGGCACCAGCACCACATACGTACTGGTGCTGGCGAGCGCGGCATTCGCAAGGCAGCGTGCGTGCGGGATAGGAGTCATGGCGACAAGCATGCGGCGAGAGCAGAGACACGAGCTACAATGGCGGAGAGCTGATGAGCAGTACAGTAGGAACAACAAAAGCGGGACGTTCATCACTGAGGGTGGCCAGTAAAAACAACAGCAATAGAGCCAATGGCGTGCGGTACTTTTCAACATCCGCCTTTGGCACTGTTTTCCCCCTGGTGCCATGCCACCCCCCCTGGTGCCATGCCACCCCCCCTGGTGCCACCCCCCCGTGTGCACCCAACCAATCAAACGGGGTAAGCGAAACTCACGCGCGCTCGCCATGGCGGTTTGCGCGTTCGCGAATGTGTGCACGGAAGGAAGCTTGTTGGTCGCAAGAAAATCCTCAGCACAAGAGGATGCGTCACAGGTAAAATCCTTTCTGGAAAGCTTGTCTGCTTAATCAATTGTTTGAACATCTGATAGAGAAGTCATCTATTTATGTTAACAGTTTATACTAGAGCGCTGGAAAGCTACAGGCTGTAAAGAACTTCAACTAAAATAGCAATTCTAGAAATACAAATCCATTCCACAAGCTGTGAAGCAAGATGGAGGCTAACAAGTTCCTAGAGCGAACAAAGACAACCCCAATAACGAGACCAAGGAAGAAAAGTGGGAGCATGCGTTGCAGCGAGAAGTGCGCGAGTGCAAACACCATTGCACTGACCACCACTGAGGCCCAGAGGGGGAAGTACCGTGTGAGGGAGGGTAGGAGAAACCCCCTAAACACAACCTCTTCCCACACAGGCGCGCAGACAGCCACAGCAATGGCATAGAGCAGCGTGGCAATGGGGTCATGCGAGTGGATGGACTGCTCCAAGTGCGTGGTGGCCTGGAACTTGAGGGGCAGCGGCAGCAGCTGCAGGTTGAGCTTGGAGAGAAGCTGCACGAAGGGGAAGAAAGAGCAGGCGAGCAGCGCCTGCAGGTACCAGCGCCCTGACAGGTGCACGGGGAACCAGTGCGGCGGGAGGGGCTGGAAGCGCGTAAGGCAGCGGTTGAGAATGGCGATGCCAACGGTCATCTCTGCCAGGTCAGTGAGCAGGCTGTAGAGCGCGTGCGCTCGCAGCGACATGGCTGCTCGCCGCAGCCCCAGCGCCTGTGCCAGCAGCGGCACTAGCCACGAGCCGATGAGCCAGAACGCCAGGAACCAGAGGAACATGACCTGGAGTGGCGAGTGGGGGGAAAACGAGGGGGGAAAACGCAAGAGTGTGTGGGAGGAGGCTGCACAAAATGATGGGAAACACCCACTGACATGTTGGAATGCATGGAAGCTGGAAAAAGAAGAAGCAAAACGGTGGCTTTGTTGACCCTTTTCCTTTCCAAGTTAGTTCAGTCGTGTGTTCCATCGCTCTCTCCCACCCACCCCCAAGCTCATGCTCTGCCATGGCTGCAACTGCTTTGGAAGAAGGGAGGGGGAGTCACCTGGAAGATGGTGTCTCCCTGCCATGGCACGCTCCAGATGCGCTCCTCTGCTGCCGGCCCAAACACCAGCCTGCCCCATTGGCTGCGCATCCGCGACAGTTGCACGCCCAGCCGTGCCCACCGACCAACCAGCCAGTGCCAGCTGGCGGGCAGGTCGTGCAGTGCATTGTCCACGTGCGCGTTCTCCTCACTCTCATCCCCATCCCGCGCCCGTTCCCCTTGTCCCGTTTCTTTTTCCGATCCGGAACCTGAATCCGCTGCTCCTGACGCCTTCCTATGCGCGCCCTCCCCCCGCCACGCCTGTTCCCCCTGCACCTGCGCGCCCCCTTGCCCTTGGTCCCCCTGCCCTTCCCCCTGCAGCTCTCTGTCGCACCAGCCCTCGTTCCGAGCGCCCCTGGGCACATGTCGCGCCTGTTGAGAGCGAGGGGGGTGGAAGTGGAAGCACGGAGGCGGGGAAGGAAACGAGGGTGCGTGAACACAGCGACGACGATGGATCGCAAGGAATACGCGGAAGGCGTATGGGGGCGAGATGGCGAGAAGGAGTGGGAGGGCGGGAGGTTGGGGCAAATAAGCGAAGTTTGGAACAAAACGCATCTTCGACACTGCTGGCCGCCAAGCGCTACCAGGTCTCAGCATATCAATTCCCGCGCGCAGGCATCGCCGCTGTGCCCATGCGTTAGAAGGGGCGCGGGGAGATCGGGGAGGGGAAAGGGAGGGGGCGGCGTGCCTGGGAGAAGCGCGAGGACGGCAGCGGGAGACCCGCGCACGACACGCAGCTGCGCGCCCCACACACGCGGCACGCCCCGCCAGATGCCCGCCCCCCCACCACGCCTTTCCGCAGGCCGTCCCTTCCCCGCCTCCCGCCACATCCCCCGCTTTCCCCATCCCATCCATTCGAAGACGACAAATGCGCCGCAGGATTTAGCGACGGGCGGGGCTTGGCGGTCAGTGGGCGGGGGGACACAGAGGTGCGCGGCCGCGCACGGCAAGGCGAGGGGCGGGCGCGCGGGCGCAAGCCGATGCCGTCTGCGGTGTGCGGAGAGGAGGGGGGAGATAGGAACAGGGGAACGGGAAGCGGCCAGAGTGAAGCGAGGACCAGGCGAGCGCGGGCGAATATGGATCGGCGTGGTGAGATTCGATCGTGGAGGTTACGTACGCGATGATCGGATCCGACGATCGACGAGACACGAGAGACGACGGCGGGAGAATCGTTGCGGGCAAGACACCAAGGCAGAGGTAGCGGAGACACTGACTGGCGAAGGAAAGGTACCGAGGAAGGAGCGTTGAGCAAGGGATGGGCGAATGTTGAGGAGAGCGTGCGAGGGTCGGCGATCCGATCGACTCACCTGATCCTAAACCGGGGATGGCGATAGAGCGGGCATCCGGCAATCCCGCATACGACGCCATGCGACGAAAGTCTGGTGATCCAACGGACCAGCGAAATGTGCGTGCGTGGAGATTAGTGCGGGGCTAACATAAACGCGCTCCTCTATCGAGCAAAAGCAGGAGAAGTCGGACAAACCTCCAGAGTGAGATTTGAATTACAGCGAGCCACAAGGTATAATTCCTTGGAAGGTATGTGGCACAGATTTCTTAGACGGCCAGCTCGTGGACGACTGTGAGTAGGGTTGACCGTGAGACGCGAGTGCGACGATGGATGTGGAGCAATATCGCAGCAAGGGGGAGGAGAGGAGGTCGGGGAAGGAGGGGTGTGGTGCGGGGAGAAGAAGAATAGACACCTCGCATGAAACGATTTTTGCTAAAAAAGGGCTCGTACATTCCAAACACGTATTGCTCCACTCCATAACGGGTACAGGAGTGTCGACTCTCGTAGATTTGGTTCAGGAACGATCGACGGTCTCGAAACAGAAAATCTTCCTGGGAGTGAATGCGCGAATATCCATCTTGTAGAGTGCTTGCTACACGATGTCATTCCTTATCATCTCATCCACTCCAATATGCTGAGAAAGCCATCTAGACCTTGGCATTATTTGCCTAAATTTTTTTGACTGCGAGTCCTGAAAGCATTGCGTCGTCAGGGTTGAGAAGAAGGCTGGGAATATTTGCGTAAATAATTCCCCTCCCCTGTTTTTGGAAGAGGGCTGGGAATGTGTCCAGGCTGAAACTAGGGAAAAGCCGTTTCAAGCTCCGCGTTACACGCTCTGCTACCGTAGCGCTAGCAAGCTACCCTTGTAATCCCCGTCACCCGTGAAGCAGGGCTCGCTGCCAGTCGACGGTCCAGCGCGCATCACATGCATCCGCCCGTCGCACAACAGCACGGCTCGGCTCACCCGCACCAACACGCGCAGCAGTATTCGCCGGCGCAGCAGCAGCACTATGTGAAGATCTGCGAGCTGCGGCCCGCGCCAGGCAATGTGGTGAACACCGTCTTCATCCTCCTCGAGAAATGTGAGCCCGCCTGCGCGCGCGTCATTGTGCGCCGACCTGTGTAGCGCAGTGCCTTGGCATCGGCCTCGGAGTCGCCTCCCCTCAAACGTTGCCTCTCCCACGCTCTTCCCCTTCGCCTCTCTCGGTTTACCTGCACTCGCTCCCCCAGTGCTCCCCTCCCTTCAAGCACCCCCCGTGTGAGCCGGTCCTTCCGTCGTCGTTGCTATGTACACTGCGTCGCTGAACATGGTCGTATCTGCTGCTCTGTCCGCATTCTCGTTCCGCCGGTCTGATGGAATCGTGCTTCCCGCATGCCGTGTGCTGCGTCTCAATACGCAATGCCACACGCCATGCAACAGGGCCGGCGGCGCGGGTGAGCGAGGGAGGGGCGGTGGTTTGCACGGCGCTGGTGGCGGATGGCACGGCGGCGGTGCACATGCAGCTGTGGGGCGCGGAGGTGGACGCGCTGCAGCCGGGGGACATTGTGCGCCTCACCAGCGGGTCAGCTCGCCCTGCCCCGCTGCGCCACTCTGGCATGCTGCTTGCCTCGCATGTCTGCCCCGTTTCCAGAGTGCCAGAGTGCAAGAGTGCAAGAGTGCAAGAGTGCAAGAGTGCCAGAGTGCCAGAGTGCAAGAGTGCAAGAGTGCAAGAGTGCCAGAGTGCCAGAGTGCCAGAGTGCAAGAGTGCAAGAGTGCAAGAGTGCAAGAGTGCAAGAGTGCCAGAGTGCCAGAGTGCCAGAGTGCAAGAGTGCAAGAGTGCAAGAGTGCCAGAGTGCAAGAGTGCCAGAGTGCAAGAGTGCCAGAGTGCCAGAGTGCAAGAGTGCAAGAGTGCCAGAGTGCAAGAGTGCCAGAGTGCCAGAGTGCAAGAGTGCCAGAGTGCCAGAGTGCAAGAGTGCCAGAGTGCCAGAGTGCAAGAGTGCAAGAGTGCCAGAGTGCAAGAGTGCAAGAGTGGAAGAGTGCAAGAGTGCCAGAGTGCCAGAGTGCAAGAGTGCAAGAGTGCCAGAGTGCCAGAGTGCAAGAGTGCCAGAGTGCCAGAGTGCAAGAGTGCCAGAGTGCCAGAGTGCAAGAGTGCAAGAGTGCCAGAGTGCCAGAGTGCAAGAGTGCAAGAGTGCCAGAGTGCAAGAGTGCCAGAGTGCCAGATTTATTGCATGTCATGCTGCCTGCTTGCTGGTGCTGTGCGGGTGGGGGTGTCTCCCTGATCACGATGGCGGTGCAAGTGAGGGAGAGAGCGGGGGAGGGACGGCATGTTGGGTGGGTGCGGAATAGGCTGGCCGTTGCTGCGGTGGATGCCTATCCTGCAAGGGGATGAAGGGGTCATGAATGCGATTCTTTAAGGACGGTGTTCTTCCTGTGTGTCCACTGCCTGTCCCCCTCACGTCAACCATAGCCTCTCTCCATCTGGTACCATCCCCCATTCCCCACACCCACCATTCCCCACACCCACCATGCACCACAGCCACCATTCCCCACACCCACCATGCACCACACCCACCATGCACCACACCCACCATGCACCACACCCACCATTCCCCACACCCACCATGCACCACACCCACCATGCACCACACCCACCATGCACCACACCCACCATGCACCACACCCACCATGCACCACACCCACCATGCACCACACCCACCATGCACCACACCCACCATGCACCACACCCACCATGCACCACACCCACCATGCACCACACCCACCATGCACCACACCCACCATGCACCACACCCACCATGCACCACACCCTCCATCCCCTACATCCCCATTGCTTCTCCACTAAATCCACTCTACCCCTCTTCCCCCGTCCTCCTTTCCCCGTCTCGCTCGCCCCTCCCCCCTCCCACTCCCCCTTGCTCTTTTGCCCCGTTGCTCCCCGCTGCGCGTGCGCTGGCCCCGGTGGGCAGCATCTTCTCGTTCCACAAGTCGAACCTGGTGCTGCGCGCGGGCAAGAAGGGCGCTCTCGAGAAGATCGGCGAGTGCGTTGCGCCATGCTCACACCACGGGGGAGCGTGCATGGCAGGGGGGAGAGAGGGCGGGTGGGAAGGGGTAGATAGGGGGAGAGAGGGAGGGAGGGAGGGTGGATGGGGCAGAGAAGAGAGAGTGGGACAGAGGTGAGGGAGAGGCGGAGGGGTGAGGGAGAGGTGGAGGGGTGAGGGAGAGGTGGAGGGGTGAGGGAGAGGTGGAGGGGTGAGGGAGAGGGGGAGGGGTGAGGGAGAGGTGGAGGGGTGAGGGAGAGGTGGAGGGGTGAGGGAGAGGGGGAGGGGTGAGGGAGAAGGGGAGAGCCACTGGGGACGAAGCAGAGAAGGGTCCTTGGAAGCTTTTGTGTGTGACAGCGCATGCTGCATGCCATGCACGTCTTGCATCCCTGCCAGCACTGCACCTACTCTCCCCTCTCTCATCCCCATCCCCTCCCCTTGAACGCCCATCCACACCAACCGCTTCTCCCCTGGGCGAACATGTGTCTGCCACGCACGCGGCAGGTTCACAATGCTGTTCGTGGAGGCGCCCAACATGAGTCGCCTGCAGTGGGCGCCTGACCCCGCCAACCCCAAGCACTGGGTCTGTCACTGCACCCGCTGCCCATCCTCCCCCGCCGCCGCTTGCGTTGCCTGTAGGCTGGCACTGCATGCACACACCCCTGCACGCGTGTGTGTGCACATGCTGATCGCTGCCGTGCAAGGGTGCGGCATGGGCACGTGTGAGGTGGTCCTTGCTTGTGCTGCCACCATGCTGCACTCCCCACCCGCTCTTGAGTCCGGTCGGGTGGTGTCACTGCTCGCCCTGCACACCATGCTCACAACCGTTATCCATGATGGTCACTCATGGTCACTCATGGTCACTCGTGGTCACTCGTGGTCACTCATGGTCACTCGTGGTCATACGTGGTCATACGTGGTCATACGTGGTCATACGTGGTCATACGTGGTCATACGTGGTCATACGTGGTCACCCATGGTTGTGCGTAAACTGCAATTGACCCATATGCCTGCTCAGGGCCTGCTCTGCCACCCTCCTCTCTCTCTCTCTCTCTCTCTCTCTCTCTCTCTCTCTCTCTCTCTCTCTCTCTCTCTCTCTCTCTCTCTCTCTTTCCCTCCCTCCCTCCCTCCCTCCCTCACTCACTCACTCTCTCGTGCTCTCCCCACCAACACGTCTCCCTCCATCTCCTCTCACGGCTGGCCCGACCTGCAGGTGCCCAGGGGGGGAATGCCTGCAGGCGGCATGGCACCACATGGCAGGTAGCGTTGCTACCACGCCCACCTGAGAATCTGGACTCATGCGGGAATAAGCAGCTTCTTCATCCTGCCGTTGCTGCTGAGGTTTCTGCAGTGCAGCCTGCCACACCTTGGCCACCCTCCCCCTCCTTCACTAACCCCAAACCAACTCCCTGCCCTGCAACATACGGTACAAGTAGGACCTTCACATGTATATAGTGGGCAAGAGCAGCATTTCAAAGAGAGTGCCACGTGCTGACTGCCTCTTGTTGGGCTGAGAAAAGCCTTTAGGATCTTCGCAAGGCTCAACTTAGAGTAAGAATGTTGTAGTTGCGGAAGCGTTTTAATGATAAGTATTGAACCACCTTGCGCTAGTATGTGAGGGCAAGATCGATTAATTAAAACAAGGAAATACAAGGTGTTTATAAGAGTACAAGGAATACGAAGAGATACAGCTAATAACCGTTTTACTGTTGCTGTTGCGGTTCGATACAGTGACGACTTGGGAAACTGCTCAATAACGAGTCAGTTGTTTGTCCTTGCTGTCGCGCTGTATTTGTCAGGTCAAAAGTCGCTGACCTTTGACTTTCGCGTAACCTCCAGCAGTTGTTACTTTCCTTCTTCAACCTCCGATGGTTGACTCGCCGATCCTTCGTTGTGTTTCGAACTTATGCTTTCCGAGTTTCTTGGTCAAGTAATCAGCTGCCATCTCGAACGTGGGGCAGTAGGACAGCTCGAGTCTCCCCTTCTCGATTTCGTCCTTCACGAAGAAATATCGTAGTGCGATGTGCTTCGTCCTGTTCGCAAATCCGCTCTTGTTTGCTATGCGGATCGCTGACTGATTGTCGCAAAACAGGGAGAAGCTGAGTAACTGGGCCAGCTTCGCCTCTTCCAGCAGTTCGCGAAGGTACAGTCTGTTGGAAACAATAAGTCTTAAAGGCGCTTCTGTCGTGTCAAAACCCAAGACACTAGCGAAGCAGTCCGAATCGAAACATCGAGTCAAACCTCGGAGGTTAGGGTAACCGCCTGGAGGTTACGGGAAAGTCAAAGGTCAGCGACCTTTGACTCGACAATTACAGTGCGACAGTTAAGGACACACAACTGACTCGTTACAGAGCAGTTGCCCGAGTCGCACTGTATCGAATCGCAACAGCAATGCAGTTATCTATCTATTCATATTCCCTGTACTCTTGTATAAAATCTTGTATTTGCTTGTTTAATTCAATCTACTTTGCTCTCACACACTAGTGCAAGGTCGGTTCACAAACTTCATTAAACGCTTCCGCTATTTCAAATATCCTACCCAGAGTTATCCTCTGCAAAGATCCTAAAGGGCTTTCTCAGCCCAACATGGTATGAGAGCAAACAGGGGAAACTCTACCTTTTCAAGATCATTACAAGACATGGCAACAAACAAGGAAAGGAGCTCCCCTAATGGCTCCTCGGGCACTACTCCTACTCCACCACCAGCCTCTGGCCTGCAGACAGAGGAAGGCACGGCAGCAAGACCAAGGGGAACGTCAACCGAGACCCCCACGAACCATCCTTCTGACTTCGACCAGAGCATGATGGAGAAATTCTTCTCCTTCATGTCCTTCTACGAGCAACACCAGCAGTCGGGACCTGCACAGACACACAACAGCAACAACGGAGCAACACCCATGAGCCTTGACGGGTCGTCATATGCGCGAGGGAATCAACAGCAGCAACCCACCTTTGCCCCGTACGAGCGCGGGTCGATCAGCTTCCTGCCTCAACCTTCACCTGCGCAAGACAAACCAATGGACGCTTTACAAGTTCAGTCGCAATTCGCGCATGTCATGAAACTGCAAACATCAAGACCTTTCGACGGAAAGGACTTCTTCACCTGGTCCTTTGAATTCGAGCTGATGATGGAGGGCGCGCAGATACTCGGCTTCTTCGACGGATCCCTGCGGTATCCAGCAAACGGCACACAGTATGAGAAGCAGCAGTATACGTATCAATCGATGATGGCGTATACTATTCTACTGAGAAACATCACACCAACTCAGCAGCAGAACATTCGCTCTTACCGGAACTTCGGCAACTCGGCGGAACTCGCGTACGGCCATCTGAAGAACTTGTATCAAGCAACAGACAGTGTAAACCAGAGCAGGTTAATGGCGCAATTGACAACAGTTGAAATGAAACCAGGATAAAAGGGATTGGCGTATATCAGCCGATGTCGCGAATTGCGCGACAAGCTTCTTCGATGCGGAGGATCAATCTCTGAAGACGCCTTCGTGACAGTCATCATCGGTGGCCTCGGTCCTCAGTGGCGCGCCACCAAAGCAATTCTTCGAGCCCACGGAAGAATCTCTGAAGCACCACTTTGCGCCGAAATCCACGCCGAGCAGCAGGTAATGGACCTGCAAGAAGAAAGGCACAAGAAAAAGGCATTAGCACCGGAGTTCGCTTTCCATACTCAGCGACGACACAACAACTACAACAACCGACAGCAGCAGCCGAAGCCAGTACCTCCGTTTTGTCATATCTGCAAAACATCAGGACATCCACGCACGCATTGCCCGTCCCGTCAGACAACACCACAGCGACAACTGCGGCCTTCAAGCTCCCAAGTTGCTTCGACACAAGCAAGTCCGACAACCACGATTCAAGCTTCAACGACTTCAACTGGACAACCTGCACAAGGAGCAAGAAACATAGTCAACTGCATGGTCAAGATAAACGATTCTTGCATAGCAGAGTCACCACCCCACTACTCACCAGAAGAGGAGCTCGACAACAGGACGCCCCGCCGCGAATCACTCCACCCGAATCCGACTTACGCCGCCATCGCTCAAAGTGAACCGTCCGGCCAAGACACTTGGTTTTTGGATAGTTGCTGCGGGCAACACATGTGCTCGTCCGGACGCTTCGTACAACGCGAACTCCGACTCCAACGAGAAGTTGTCATCGCGGTCGCCAACAATCAAAACCTGCGCACACGACGACAAGGAGTGGTACAGCTTCAGTCAAGAGAAACAAACGTCATACTGCACATGTCAAAGGTACTCATCGCTGAAGGGCTCGGTTACAACTTACTGAGTGTTAGCCAGTTGATGGCGAAGGGGATTCACCTGGAAGCCGACAGCACCACCCAAGAGTTCAAGCTATACCACGGGAGAGGCGGTCTCTACATCGGGAAAGCAGTATTGAAGAACAATGTCTTCGTCCTCGACTTCGTTCCTGACCTGGGCACTGCAGACAGCGACGCCATCGTGAACTTTACCGACTGGACACACCCTCCGGATCTCGACCCCGACTTCAGCCCGGGAGGTTTCTGGTACTCCCACACTATCCCTGAAGCAGAACGAACACGAGCGTTAGCAACGATTCAACAAACACCAGAAGCAGAGACAACATCGGCAGCAGCAACAACATCGGCAGCAGCAACAACATCGGCAGCAGCAACAACATCGGCAGCAGCAGAGACAACATCAGCAGCAGCAGGAACAACGACACCAGTCACAGTCGACGAAGCACCACCAACACCCGCGCAACAGCTGAATCCGACTCAACGTGAAGTCCACCGAAGCGCCAACTTCGTCGCCAGTCTTTACTCCAACTCCGACGCATACCAACGTTCACCCGGACACCGCGCCTCTGAAGAAATCTGGCACGCACGCACAGGACATCCAAGCAACACGGTTTTAAACAATACGATAAGAGCAGGAGTTCTTGACAAAAATTCTCTACTTCTACCCGACGGCAGAGAACTCCAAAAGGCACGAGGGACTTGCCTTATATGCCCCGAAGCTGACTTACCTCATCGACCATTCGCTCCACATCACAACCCGAGCGCACCAGCGTACGCACCACTTGAAAAGGTTTACAGCGACATCCTCTACAATCGCGAACCAGGACAAGTCAACTACAACTACACCATCACCTTCATCGACGCCGCCACTCGATACGTCTGGCATCGTAACCTACCCAGCCGCGACTTGGCGCTCGCAGCATTCGCTGCCTGGCTACCGATAGCAGAGAGAGAGTCTGGAACGCAACTGAAAAGCTTCCAGTCAGACGGAGGTGGCGAGTACACCTCTCAGCGCTTCAAGCAGTTCCTGGAGGAAAGGGGGATCAAGCAACTCCTCTCCCTTCCCTACGCACATCAGCAGCAAGGTGTTGCAGAAAGAATGAACAGGACTCTGCAGAACAGCATGCGCAAACTATTACGTGGCATGCGGCTACCCAACCACCAGTGGCCAGCAGCAATGGACCATGCTGTCATACTGCACAACTTGTTGTCGTCGTCGTCACTCCCGAACAACGCATCACCGCATCTGCTGTGGACAGGGAAGCAAGGCAGCACAAAAATGTTACGAGTTTTCGGGTGCATGGTACAGTACAGACCCCCAGAAGCACGAGCGGGAAGATTTTCGCAACGGGCACAGTGGGGACTACACCTCGGCATCGAGAAAAATTACAACGCGTGGAGAATCTTCGACGTCCACACAAAAGAAACAGTAGCAGTACGTGATGTGATCTTCTACGAATGACTCACCCTTCAGACGTACCTCGCCAACTTGCACGAGAATCAGGACCTCACCGGTGGCTTTCGTGGTGACCGAGCCTTCGCGTCAACAGCGGATGAAGCAGACTGGGATGAGCAGAATGTCGACAACGCATCGGAGGAAGCCGGACCTCTTCCGTACTGCTCCGTCGACGTGCCCATGGATGAGGAAAATCCTCGCGACAGTAACAACGCCGAAGTCTTCTACCATTTCGCCGACAATGGTTACGTAACACCTGCAACAGTCAACACCAACGAAGCAGAAAGGGTAGGGCCAAATTTCATACCCGACCCAGAAGTGGGAGACGAAGCAGCTTATCCCGAGGATCCAGAACTCCCTCGATACTCACAGACTGGACTGCAAATCCTTGGTCTCGTCACCGCAGTCCATGGCGCCGCCATTCCTAAGGAGCCTGCGACGGTTCAACAGGCTATGGAGGGGGAACATAGGGAGAAATGGCGTGAAGCCATGGACAAAGAGCTGAAGGCAC